ACTAAAAATGGAAAATGAACAAATAACTAACAAAATAGTAAAGAAGAAAATTTTATTATTGTTCAAATTAATTATGAAAAAAAAAAATTTCTAATAATCCACACTATCTAGATTAAAAAAACTCGTTGACAAAAAAAAAGATTAAAAAAACTCTAATAGTTTAAACTAATTATCAAATTCAATTAAAAAATATAATAGAGAGAATGTAAACCCTAAAAAAAAATGAGAAATTTCAAAAAATGCCACTTTTCAAGTGCCACTTTACAAAAATGCCACACTTTTGAAATCTTTACAAAAATGCCACTTTTTCAAAATTATTTTTTCTTTATATTATTTATATTTGGGTTAATTATGTTCTATTAGGATTTAGTTTTGAGTGTTTATGGGATTTTAGGTGTCAAAACATTTTTTAGGGTTTAGAATTTGAAGATATAGGTTTTATAAATCTATAATTAGCGGTATTTTTGTAAATAGACACCCCTAAGTGGCATTTTTGCAAATGTGCACACAAAAAGTGGCATTTTTGTAATTGCCCCAAAAAAAATTGAGAGAGAAAAAAAAGGTAAAAAAATATTAGCGACGAGAGTTTGACATTTAAGTAAAATTATAGTTCACCAGATCATAACATGTATCTAATATTTGATTAGATGAAGAGATGTGTTAAAACTTGAAATTAATTAAGAAAAAATAAAACTAAAAATGGAAAACGAACAAAATAATTATCAAAATAACTAACCAAAGGAAATTTTTTAATAATCCCAAATAGTTAAGAAAAAATAATTAAAATATTTTAAACACATTCTGAAAATAAAATTAGGAAAGAAAATAAAGAGACTATAAAAAATAAAAATAAAAGTAGAGAGGAAATTAGAAAATTAATTTAAGAAGCAAATATGAATGATAAAACAAAATAATTTTTACAAATTGAAAAAAAAAAAATAGAAATCTCAATGTTAAAGTTTATATGCACAAAGATACCAAAGAAAAAAATCTATAAATATATTTACTTTGTAAACATAGTTATAGAATATTACAAAGAAAATATAAATATTCTATCTATACTTTTCAATGTTAATAAAGAAAATTATACAAAATAAAAATATATACATATTATAAAATATAATAATATATTTACTGTAAAGATATAAAAATGTAAGATTTAACGAGTATAGATCTCTATGAAAAATAAACCAATGACAATTGTCAATAATATATTTATATATAATGTTTGATAAAAATATTATAAAATATTTTAATAGGTTTTTATGAGATTATTCACATAAATTTATTGTTTGATAATTTAACTATATAATATTTTAATTGTTACAAAATTTTATCATATAGTTAATATAAATTCATAATATGTAAGAATATTTGTTTTTGTTATTAAAAAATATGATTTGAATTCCATTTATGTATATACTAATTTTTTGCATGCATAATATGAATTAGGACATGATAATTAATATATAAATTAAACTTTAATAGTTTGAAATCCATATTTAAATATTTCAAAATATTTTTGTAATTAAATGGATTACTAACTAAAATTTAAATTTTGATATTAATATTTTTAATGAGTTTATCCATGTATTAACGCGGATCATATTCTAGTTATATATATAACTTCAAGTTAAAACCCCAACATTATATATATCTTTCCACATCAAAAATAATTGGAGATTTGGACCATTATTAAGGTCCCACAAACTGCACCTCTAGGGATTGACGAATGTGTCCTCTCAAAGCCAGCTTCTTTGATTGTGATAGATACTATACAACTTCATACTATCTACGTACGTACATCATATTATATGCAATTATTGAAGATATCTATGACGTGGTTTGTCACATTACTTGATACTATCACTAAATGAATGAGTCTATAAAGATGGAATTTTTTTTATTGCCATGGGTCTAAATTCCTCGCTACCTCAAATTTGGCAATAGATGTCTGTCCATGAAAATTGTTTATCATTTTTCGGATTGTTGTTAACAAATTTCTATCGTAATGACAAATATTCAGCATTAGCAACCTAGCTACAACAACACGTATGAATATTCACTAATTTACTCGTCACAATTGTGACTTATCAAGTTATCATACAAACATGATGTACTAATAATAAATATATTATGAACAGGCAAATTAAACCAAAAGGTCTTTGTAAAAACACCTAGGGTGAGAAGATATCAAATAAAAGAGAGAGAAAACTACGAGGAATAATATAAAGTAGAAAATATTAAAAAGATTAAAGAGATTAAAAAAACGAAGGTCAGAGAGCTTATTGACGAGGACACGCATGAACATGCGAACACTTTAAGCCCAAACATACAAAATTAAAGAACATGCGACCACTAAAAGTCAAAAGATAAATTAAAGAACATTGTTAATGGGATCTATAGTTTCTTTTTATTATGTTCTTACGAGCTCTTTTTTGTTTTTGTTAAAGAAATGTTTTTACGAGTTCTTAGTCCCCCATTCCATACAACTTCTTTTTGCTTTGCTTTTTTTTTGTTGGCTCGTGATGATTGGAAATTGTATGTCGATGCATATCTACAATAACTATATCTTTAAAAAAAAAATGATATAAGATATGCTATGCAATGCGTGCAAATCATTTGTATACAATTGCCTCATACGATACAAGTCCGAGATAGTATGCATATGCTATAAATTTTATAACATAATAATACTATATGCATGCAAATCATTTGAAAATACTCTTATATGATCATGTTGTATTGACATATATCGGAAAGTCTTTAACGTCTATGATCATTGCTCAATGAGATGTAAGTGATCTAATTTTTTGTTTTTGTTTTATGTTATCGTGATCATATTCCTATATCGGTTAAAACAATTACATAACAAATTAAGGATTGAGTTTAGCAAAAAAAAAAACAAATTAAGGATTGGCCAATCTAGTTGTAATTTTACACGAGTATATTCCAAACTGTTTTCTTTATTAACATCACCTTTATAACTTGTCTCTAAAATGTCATTTATAAAAAAAAAGTGTCTCTAAAATATAGTAATGTACTAATAAATTAGTAAATAACGGGGTTAGAATATGAAACAGAAACATTTCAGGGGCAATAAATTAATTTTTGTTAAAATAATTCTATTTTAAGGAAATTAAATAAAGAAAATCGCGTGAGTGAGAAAGAAAGTGAGACGACTTTGACTCTGTTTGAAGCGGGAAACAAGGCGCGGAG